GGCTCTCCCCGCATCGCAGCTGCGGGCTTTGTCTGCTCTGCGGAGAACCTCCCCGCGGCCCAGAGCTGGATGCACAGGAGGCGCGGGCGGGGGAGCGGAGCGGGAGCGGCAGGGAGGGGGCGAGGGGAGAGGAGAGCCGCAGTGACCTAGCCGGACCGCTCCCCGCCCTCTCGTCCCCCCCCCCCTCATTACCATGAGAAAGAGGGACCCGAGACCTGCCGGGACCGCGTGGGAGCCGGGCTTGGGAGGGGGGCGCGCTCCCTGAGTCTTTTTCCAACAAACCTTTCGTTTTCTGCACCCCGACTCCTCCTCCCTTCCCCCGCGAAAAAAATTAGGGACCTCGACTTTTTTTCCCACCCCCAAATTCGCCTCCGAGCCGCGGGTAAAAGACCTAAAGGCCCCTCCCCGCCCCCTCCGCGGGTCAAAAGAATACGTCCCCCGCGCCCCCCCGGGGTGGGAAACTACAACTCCCGGCATGCCCCCGGCGCCCCCGGCGCGCCCCCCTCCCGTCAGTTCCATGCTGCTCCATCCAGTTCATTTAAAACAAAAGAGTTTGAGCGCTGGATGGGGCTGGTCTCTATTGGGGGCCACTGAGTGCTACTCCTAGACTGGGGCTTGGTGCGGGCGCCTGAGGGGGGCGTCTGGACCGCGGGGTCTGGAGACTCCGGGTCCGAGGAGGGAGGGGTGGGGGCAGAGATCCCGCAGCCCCCGGTCCCCCGTCACCCCCGGAGAGGAGAAGAGATCTGCTTTCTTGGTTTTGTTTCTCTTTCCCCCCACCCCCACCCCGGGGGCTGGGGCGAGGGGAGTCGGGTTACAGGGTGTTTGGGGAGGGGGGCTTAGGGGGAGGGTCTATCTTTCTATCTCGCCGTCTTTCCCCCTCCCCAGTTCTTTGTTCCCCCCTCCCCACACACCCCCTCCTCTCCTCTCCCCTCCCCTCCTCTCTCCTCTTTTCCCTTCCACCACCTCTCTCTCCCTCTCTCTCTCTCCCCCCAGCTTTTGTTTCGCCATGCCTAGTCGAGGGGTATCTGGAATAATGGAAAGAAATGAGGAGTTTTGTAGAACTAGAATGTTTCTGT